AAGAAGAAGAAGAAGAAGAAGAAGAAGAAGAAGAAGAAGAAGAAGAAGAAGAAGAAGAAGAAGAAGAAGAAGAAGAAGAAGAAGAAGACGAAGAAGAATCTTAAGAGCAGATTCGTCTGTAAAAGTAAAACCAATATTTGACAGGAACATAGCAATACAGTTTATATTATCGCTTGACACTTTAAATATGGAAATCTTCATAACATCATCGATCAAATAGTGCTCATTTTTTCAGACTTCTCTGTGAAAGAAACCTCTCCATAATTTCATGAGATGCCCCATTCATGGTAAAGTTAAATTTTAGTAAGAGTTTTACAGCACTCGGAACACAATCAGGTCATATGAGTGCCGAGAAGATAAGAGGTGTTACTAGAAAAAAACACGCAAAGAAAAGGAGGAGAAGAGATTTATAAGGACGATAGATTGTTTATTTAGGAAAGAAGAAGCAAACCACACTAAAGCACCTGCCAACCACCCACACCGTTCACTGTGATGTCTCTGCTTTGGCTGAAAAGAGGGAACGATACATCACGTTTGGATGACAACAACACATCTCTCCTTCAAAGACCACGTCCACAAAGTCATCAAACAAACCTCATTACATCCTTCCACAAATTTAAAAGCGTCGCGTTGCCTGTAAAAAGTCTGCCAGCAAAATGTGGGTCCAAGAAGTCTGTGAAGAAAATAATAAAACAATACATAGTTTACTATATAGAATAGAATACTTGCATTGTTGGTATTGGTGGGTGAATAGAGTAAAGACATTATACTAGAAAATATATTTTAAAGTCTTTACGGACCAAAAAAAACCTTTGCATGTACACTCATAAAAAATGTGAGCACCAAGGTAAGAAATTTGCTGCTTCTCACTCCTCATAATAAAATAAAAACCGATAGTATTTTTAAAGTTAGTTAGTTTTAGTAGAGGTTTTACGGCGCTCGCAACTGCATAAGGTCATAGGAGCGCCAGAAGATTAGAGGTGTTACAAGAGAGTAACAAACATAAAAAAGAAGAAGGGGCGATATGGACGATAGATGTTTGATAGGAAAGAAAAGCAAATCACACCAGAGCACCTGCCAACCACCCATGTATTTTTTAAAAATGTGGTACAGTGGAGAAGCAAAGGTAGAGAGATGAATGACACTTCATGGTTAGTAAATATATTATATATGAGGAGTCCACAGGAAAAACAGGCATAGTCACAAACTGGAAATTGTGAGAGAGTCAGTTTTAAAAACTTTCTTCATATTTGTTTGATTGGTGGTTTACTGATGTTTGTTGAACAGGAAATCAAACAACAATAATCAACCAACAGTTGAACAGATATACATACAGTTATGAGTCAACAAGCGTTCAAAATTGATACCCTCACGATTTTCAGTTTGTGACATTTCCCATTTTTCCCCTGGACATCAAATGATATAGAGTGGCAAGGTCTTAAATATCCCTTTCAACAATGTGAAGTGATCCAAAAGGCGATACTTCTGATCTTACTTTTGTTTTCATCAAGACTTGGCCAAGTGGGTGGAAAGACATACAAACTCAAACTCCTCGAACAAATCAAGTTCAAGAATGTCCTTTTAACTCCTTATCTCCTCCAAGCTCCTCCCAACGGTTAGCAGGCAGATCCGCTGGCAGAGAATCTGTCACATTCGTTTATAGCAACATCAACATTATATTGCTTTATGGCAATTGCCGAATAAAGGTCTCTTTTACTGGGAGTACTTTCATTAGATGAAGAACTATCAAATAGGTTAATTAAATTCCACTGTTTTGATTTAAGGAACAATTTAGTGATGTATATTATGTCATTTTTAGAACTCATACCGAAAGAGGGCTCAAGAATACCGGGAAACCATCTCTCCGTAGATAACTTTGATAAAGAGTTCAGGTAAGGATTTAAACCACACGGAACAGTCAACCCAAGTGTCCATAGCACAACAACAACGTCAAACAGAGAGCAACATCATGTTTGTAACTCAAGTGTACTGAAGACCATTGTCACAAAAGATTTGTAAATGAGAGAAACTAGTCACTGGTCAGTCACCTGGTATGGTAGTCCAAGGGAACTTTCCACCTCCACACATCCCTTTTGTCCAGCCTCTCGTGACCTCTGGGTCTGTCCAGACATTTCCTGTCGGAGAAAAATATGTCAGAGCATTTGTCAGTCATGCGGTTTTCAAATCTTTTTCTTGTAATTAATCTTATTCATGATACCTGCATTGAGATGAGCTGAAGTGCTTTTTCATTCTTATACACTGTATCCAAATGATTCAAACCATTTGTTGTCTCGTTATTCATACGCATAAATTATAATTCATTCAGATGTCAAAACTCATACTTCCCACATCACTTTTGACACTGTCTTTATTTCTATATAGACCTAAAATAAGTAGAATATTGGAAATAGTGTGGGTTTATTAATGTCCAATGCAAAACATCAGTGCTGTATATTTCACTTTTCATTCAAATTAAAAACCTGAATCTATCAAAGTTTTAAATATACTGTGAGACAATAAAAATATAATAATAATACAAGTCACTTATATAGGAAGCATTGTGCATTTCCATTGTAGTCATTTCATGAGTCGGGTTCCTACAGCTGAACCATTGAAGTATCACAAGATGATAGGCCAGTCAGTCACCCTGACCATTGAACTACTTATCACACTGTGCCTCACTGCTATTTTTATAAATAATATAATCTGACTCCCTGCTCTTTAACTTTAATACATGGTTTACTAACAAACCAAGCAACTAACAATATTATCTAATTCCATTAAAAAAACAGGCCTCTTTCTTTACAAAAAAACACATCGGAGGAAGTCAAAGTGACAATAGTTCAGAAAAAATCGGTGATTCTAGCAGCAGGTGTGTATACAAAATATAAAAATCACAGGGTGGGGAAAACAAAATTTATTTAATTTACATAGCTATTATTTTTCGTAGTCACACACATAGTAGATATCTATGCGTATACCTTCGTTTTCTATGGGCACTGCCATAAAATTTCCTCACTGGTATGACATGATCAGACTCGGCTGACGTGGCACTTGTCATTTCTGTTGGCGTCTGTTGCTGTTTCATTGATTTGAGACAGATGGTGACAATTCAAGTCAAAGAAAATCCTCAAAGAGCTGACCATCGTTCTGTGATAAAAGAAGAATGAGATCATATACATCAATTGTTCAATGAAATTATGAGAGCAAAAATTCCTTCATTTACATGAAGGGAGCCTAATTGTCTGTCATGGCATTTGTAGGCTCCCTTATGAAAATGAAGTTAATCCACCCAAAACTCTAAAAGAAAATCCGCGTTTTTTTTGGTCTCTCTTTTTAAATTTGAAAAACATGACTTTTTAAAATTATTTTTGCCAGGGGGCAAGCCTCCCTTAAATATTATAAATCCCCCCTACTAACAGGGGGGGCAGGTGCCGGTACAAGCCGTTAAACGTAGAAGACGCATCTTTCTGAACTTTCTGATTGGCTGTTAATTTAAATAGTCATGTGATGTCATCTGGGATACCCACAGACTATTTTAAGAAGGCCGAGGAGGTACCGCATTATAGAATCGATAACGTGTTTCCGGTAGGCCTATATATAACATTTTGGAATGGAAGAGGCTAGCCCAGGGCTCCCCTTTTCAGGCCAACTTAAGAGGTTCCTTCACCCTTTGTTTTACTATTTTAAGGGGTATTTAAACCCTTGTTTTAGAAACTTAAAGGGTAAAAGTCAATATCTCGTAATTTTACAATAAGAATTTTTGCTTGCAAACATTTAACTCACACGCACATTCACACAGACACACCTAGAGCGACCAATCAGCGTACGCAAACCCCCGAAATGAAATTATAAAGAGTAAAGCTCACGCACAACCAAAACTTAAAGGGGGTAATTTGCAGGTTTAATGCGTAATATACGCACATTTGAGCGTAAAGGGGAGCCCTGCTAGCCGTACTTAATGACGGCTAGACTGGTAGTCTAGCCGTACTTAAGTACGGCTAGACTCGCAGTCTAGCCGTACTTATTCTTAATATGATGGCTAGACTGACCATTTACAAAAAATAGGCCTACTGAATTGTAAATATATACATTTTTAGTGTGCAGAACCTAAAGTATTTGTATTTGAGACGAAACCAGGTACACCTTAATGACAGTGCATGTATTTTAAACCTCCTGTTTTCTAATGTTAAAATAGGGCCTATATAAGTACGGCTAGACTTTTTGTCTAGCGGTACTTAAGTACGGGTAGACAGCCAGGCTAGCCATACTTAAGGACGGCTAGACTGTCAGGCTAGCCGTACTTAATATTGATGGTTGAATTGTAAATGAAATTTTTAGTTTGCAATGCCTAAAGTATTTGTATTTCAGACAAAACCAAAAGGTGCCTTACTGACTTGCATGTATTTGAACCTGAATAATTACTAGATCTAGATCTAATGAGACCTGTGTACTTAACAGGCTTGAGTCAATGGGGACAAACCTAGACCTAAGTACGGCTAGCCACTTCGTTTTGGAATTCCAGTATTGACACTGTACGAATGTCAACAATTTCCTTCATTGAGACATTGACGGGTTTGAGCTTCCTAATTTTCCGGTTCACTGCGTCTATTGAATTCATTCTTAGAACGTTTCCTCTAGATCTAATCTAGATCTACTGTGTATAAAAGAGACTATTCGTCATCGGAGCACCGCATCATATCACATTCCTGGAAAAACATCGCACCAAAGCGTTGTGCCATCCCGTTGGCTATAATTACATAATATTAACACATGACTGAAGGGGTGTTCCGGTCTGATGTCACACAAAATGGCCGCCTTACCTAAAAATAGTTTGCGTCCTTCTACGTTTAATCGCATGTGGTGCCGGTGGATCCATCAAAGTTCAATCCCGCTTATCTGGCCAAAAATTATTACTGGCTAACGATGGTAGGGTTCATTTAGCCTACATGGCCACTTTTGGGTGCTTTTTCGGTAGTTCCCACCCCCCCTTATATTTGAGCCTAGATCTACATCGAGATCTATCATGTTTGATCCGCGGCGAGCTAAGATATCAAACCTCTAACAACTGCAAAACATTAAATTATGGTAAAATTCAGGGGGGCTTGGCCCCCTGAAACCCCCCACCTTGTTTTTTATTAGGTCAGGGGGGCAAAGCCCCCTGAAACCCCCCTAGATCTACTCTTGGGGCCAAAACCCGCGAATAACAATTGTGGCCGTAATTGCGGAGTGGGAACTACTGAAAAAGCGCCCATTTTTGTCCTTAGCAATCACTTTTCTGCTTCTTATATAGATCTATGTAGCCTAAACAAACGGGAAGGTAATTTCCAAAGAGCCCCGATCTCTAGATCTAAATCTAGATGTAGATTCTAGATATCTAGAATCTAGCACCTTGCCCGAAGTCAAAGTTGCCCGCTATGCATTCCAAGACCAAGATAAAAAAACGAAGTGGCTAGCCGTACTTAAGTACGGCTAGACTGCCAGTCTAGCCGTACTTAGATCTAGGTTTGGCCCTATCGACTCAAGCCTGTTAAGTACACAGGTCTCATTAGATCTAGATCTAGTAATTATTCAGGTTCAAATACATGCAAGTCAGTAAGGCACCTTTC